TTTAGTACACACAAGCATTCAGTGTCTCACATTCCAGAAAACACTGTTCCTCTGCCATAAAATTAAAACAAAATACACAGGAGAATTTCTGGAAATTATGGAGACCTGGAGATAGCAGCAAATAACAAATTGTTTCAACTGTGGTTTTTTACCTCCTTAGTCTAGTAGTTCCTTTTCTATTTGACAAGTTTCTCATTAGTATTTGATTTTGAGAGCAACAGTTTTCTGCAGTTATGAAGGCAGCTAGCTGACGCAAAACAAGTTCAAACTTGATTCAGAGGCATAACAATTAATGATTTACCAAGCTTCTGAGTCTTAGAATCACACAATTAGGTTGTCTCTCTGAACCACAGCCAGCAGGGATAAGCTCATTTGCCCAGCTATCCCCATCTCATGGGAACCAAATGGCTTTTGAAAAAGCCATATGAAAACTGCTAACCATGACAGTTGTAGTACTGCTGATCAGAAAGCATCACTGCTGCAGGTGAGCTGAGTAGGTTTCTGGTACCTCCCTTCCAACTCACTTTTTGAAGTTACTCTAAAATTGTTGCTTTGTCTTGTCATAGTTATTTTATTGGCTAGGACATCAAGAAAATGTCATACTTCATGAATTCGTAAGGTTTTAATGATTACAAATGAATAAGTGTCTGATTACTGGGAGTCCATAGCTCCCCTGCACTACATCTAGCGGGGCTCAGGCCATCACTGCTAACTCCTCCCAAGGTTAGGGCTCATGCTGGTGCCTTGCCTTCCCACCCCACACACAAGCTGTGCACAAGCTGACAAAAGGTCTCACCTTTAATTCTGGGTTTGTTTTTTTGTTTGGTTAGTTAGTTTTTTTACTTTGAGTGTACAGGTTTGTCTCTGGATTTCAGTTTCCTATGGGTTTAATTACTTTTTCTACTTCTTGTTTTCATATTTTGACTTTTTTTTTTTTAAGAGTAGAAAGATTTCAAAGGTGAGAGAGGAAAAATGGATTTGAAACTCAGACTTCTCTCAGTCCTAATAATTCCCCTTCTTGTCTTACAAATCCCTCAGTTTTGTAGTAATAGTGTAAATGAGTTTAAGATCTCCTCTTTCAATTACAAATGACCAAACGTCATTCTTCACTCTCCAGCTACAGATCTGTGTATAGTGACATGCTCTGCTGTCAGTATCTGCATATGCTGACACTCTCTGCTGTCACTCAACAGTCTGAATAAACCTTGGGTTTAGGTATTACTCATCCAAGTAATAGTTTCAAAATTCTACCTCACCACAGCTGCGGATCCCATATACTGATATAAACAGATATGTGGTGTACATGGTTTCAATACCTGTCCTGCCACAGTGGCGTGAATTTGTCAGCCCACAGGCTCTTACTCATTTCTTGGGCACAAGATCCTTTCTAGTTTTCATTATTTAAATAACCAACTACTTCTTTTTTTTTTTTTTTTTTTTTTTGCCTCCTGGAGCATTTAAGATCCAGATGAGGATCCAGGAAAGCCTGACACTGGGAGGTTTGTGCTGAGAAAGAAAATTGAAAATCAGGATTAGATCCCACTTGAATTAAGTGGTTGTGTTGTGACAATGGTTTCTCAAAACCCTTCATAAATTTTTCTCTTCCTTCTGCATCAGTGCTTACTGCTAACACATTTTGATATGTGTCCTGGGTTCACTACTATTAATAATAATGATAAAGGAAATAACAAGGGGAGAGAATATAAAATTTTAAAGGGAAAAGGAAAAAATACCAATAAACCCAAATGATGCACAATACAATTGCTCACCACCTGCTGACTGATACCCAGCCCAACTGGAGCAGCAATCTGCTCTTCCAGGTAACTCCCCCCAGTATATATACTGGGCATGATGTGCTGTGCTATGGAATACCCCTTTGGCTAGTTTGGGTCAGGTGTCTTGTCTCTGTTCCCTCCTGGCTTCTTGTGCCCCTCCTCACTGGCAGAGCATGAGAGACTGAAAAGTCCTTGACTGGGGTAAATATTGCTTAGCAACAACTAAAACTTTGGTGTGTTATCAGCATTATTCTCAGACTAAAGCCAAAACACAGCACTGCACCATCTACTAAGAAGGAGAAAAATAACTGTTACAGCTGAGCCCAGAACAATGTGCTAGTTGCTTTCTACATGTTTGAAAAAGAAATGGGAAAACTTCCAAAAAGTCCAAGTTTCAGGCTTTCTCTCGCCTCCCAGCTTTTCAGAGGAAGATTGCCAGACAGCAAAACAAATCCCAGTGTTTTGCGCAACATTTGTGTGAAGACTAGCAATGGGTATTATTAGGACACCAGCAGCACTACTAATGCAAAGAAATGGCATAACAACTAATTTGCCCCATTTTTAAAAGTTCTACTTCTGGAATACTGGCCAAATTGAGGACTTGGCAGATGGATGTGTCTGACTGCTTGGTTATTCCTCAACTTCCCGTTGTCCCCTCCCATGAGTTTCCATCTAGAGTCTTGTAAACACAGAACTTCAAGAGAATATAACATTACAGATGAGTCTAGAAATGTTTAAAATAATCAATTACTCTCCCAGTCATAAGTCAACAGTTCAAGGTTAATTGTCCCTGGTTTGTTCCAGCCTTATCCCTGCCCTGCTCTGAATATGACAGTATCAATTCCAAACCAAAAATTTGCCATCAGGAAAGCATATGTGTATTATACAGGAACATACTGCATATGATCAGAGTCTGTCCTTAGTATATGTGCCCAATGGCTACCAAGGATGGTACAACACAACAGGACAGTTGTGAGAGGAAATGCACTGGTAACATTTCTGTGCACACACCTGGGTGCTCAGACACTCACCGTAAAAGCCAAGATCATGATTCACACAGGGCCAGTGCTATTTTACTTCATCAGAAGCAATTAGGAGACAAACTACAAGAAAGAGTGTTGCTGCCTTTTTGTTTTGTAGCAGTAGGTGTTCTCAGACCTTACCCATAGAGTGCCTCCCCAGCAGATCTCACACCTTCAACCACCTCCCTTTTAGGGCACCTGCTGAGCTCTCACACTACAGGCTTCTCCTCACCTCTTTCATCTGCTCCCTGCTTTCACAGTGCTATGCAGACCTCTCTGATGCAGACAGAAAATCATCTTAAATCAGTAGGTCTGATCGTTAAAAGTTTGTGACGTCCTTGAAACGTCATTTGCCTGGAGTTACAGTGCCTCATCCCAGAATTGAGGACTATCCTGCACATCAAAGTATGGGTCCCTCACAGCCTCAGTTATCACAATAGTCAAAGACACATTGAATAGATTGGGGTTCCTTTGCCTTCAGAGCAAACTGCAGGGTTTTTCAAAGATTACTGTCAGGCTTGGCACTAGAAAAGTGAAAGAAAATACTCCCATCTTCCTTTGCATTAAATAAGTAGGATGCAAAATCACATTAATACAAATTAAGTAGCAAGTCTAGTATCCAAACTTAATTTTCTCACAAACATATAATTCTGAGGACTACCCATTTTACCCTGAAAGTATTGAAAGTGACTCGTTTTCCAAACCAGGTTACTGCCCGAGAACTGAGAGCATCCAGGAGACTCCCTGCGCAGGGTACGGGGGACCTCTTGTGGTGGCCAAGCTGCTGGCCTAGCGCTCCCGCATGGCAAGTGCCAGCAGCAGATAAAAATTTTTATCCAAATATATATCCCTCATTAGAGGAACCTAACTCATTTAATACGTGGGACATGAGTGTATAGCCCAATGTTGCAACCCAGTTTATCATTCTGGTCTCCAGCTCTTAACACAAGGAAGGCATCTAAAAATAACTGTGCACTCTCAGTAATATTTTATTACATGCTGTCAAATCTAATGCAGCCTGCCTAACCACAGTGTCACAAAAATAATAGCTGCTGGAAAGAGCTCACCTAGCTTCAATTTGAACCTGGTTGAATGGAGGAAAGAGTCAAAATGTCCCTGTAAGTCCAAGACCAGAGTTCTTAGCACAAAAAAGCTCTGTTGGACCTGTGAGCCTGCCTTGTGCTTCACGTTCAGTGGCATCGCTCCAACATTACAACTGAAGGCAGCCAAACTAACAAACATCTCCTCCTTGCACAGGGGATCCATGTGCTTTAAGAACCCCACTAGCAACGACTTCTAGATTCTTGTAGTGACTTCAAAAGCCACCAAATGCTGTCCTATGCCTGGCAACAGAGCTTTCTGTAGCTGAGCAGCATACCCTCCTAGCAGGGATCCAAACGACATGTTCATACCACTCCCTGCACATCTCAGTCCTGCTTCTATTTAACTCGTCTAACACACCCTGTGGCAATTTCCATCTTGCATACTTTCTTTAAACTATTGGACTATTTCATGCACTCTAGTCTACAGTTCCCTCAAATCTGATAAATTCTGTCACAAAGCTGAAAGCAATAGTTATAGGCTCTATATCTTTCTGCTTTTGTTGACCTAAAGGATCCCACTCCAGAGACAGTCACTTGTTTTCAAAAAACGGGCTCTATACTTGGGTTTCTAGTTTAGAGTCACCTTAAAAGGAGAAGTCCAGGCTCCAGCCACTGGTCACCCAGTCTGCAAGGTGGCATGAATACTTATTTCAAACCCAAATTTAATTTTTAATCCCTAGATCAACTTCTTTAAGTCTCTTTTAGATGAAAAAACCAACCAACCAACCAACCCACCAACCAACCAAACAAAAAAGCCCCCAAAACCCCAACTAAAACCGGACAAAACCCAAAACACGAACAAACAACATTTATGTGTAGGAAAATCACCTCAATTTTGGTTTTTGGAGAACACAAGGTGCTAAATACATGTGAAGATCCCTGCTTTCTGAAGAAGAACACACGACCATTTGGAAACACTTTTTTCCCATCAAAAGCATTGTTAGTATTTGCTGAGATCCAGGTCTAACATGCACAGTCACACGTTCAGCTGTACTTACAAGAGGCACATTTACTTGCAAGTTTTTTTGAGACACTACTACTCCCCTGAAAGCCCCTCTTTCATGATTAGCCCATAATTTCACCTTCATTTATTCAAAGTTCTAGAAAGGAACCCAACGAAAAGCAGCAAATAGGAAAATGGGCCCAATCGCTGTACTCACCGGCGTGCTGCTGTCAGAAAAGGTGTTCATGCTGATGGACCTGCTCATCTTGTCAGAGGAGAGGGATGGTGGGGAGGGACTGCGCTTGTCCAACTGCTCATGGTGTGGCAGGTCCTGGCGCTGCAGGTAGTCTCGCCATGCTCGCTGGATGCTGAGGCAAACACCAAGGCACAAGGGTGCAGCCACAAAAAGGATGTAAAATAAATATTCTTGACTGAAGAGGTGGGCTTGGGTGGTTTCTCTTTTTTTTTTCCTGCACTTTGGTTTCCAATTTGGATCATGATTGCATATAACTACTCTCCATAGGTCTTATATTAGTCACTACTAGTATAACTTGAGGTAGTAGAAGCAATTCCTTATTTCAGATCCCTAAACCTACAGAAGTGATTTAAATTTGAGACCACATATAATTCAGCAAATCTCTTACATCTTGCAAACACAATTTTGCCTTTATCTGTTTAAAAGAATGAACAGCCTTCAACATCTTAAATCAGCTTTCAGTTTATAAATGCAGATATGATTGGAAATTCAGAGCTGGATCAGTATCCTTTAAAATCTCCTCCAAAGAAACATTTGGGAATTGTGGTAGGAGCTCTGCTTCTAAACTCTAAACTTTGACCAGATTTCTAAAATCTGATGTCAAAGTCTGTAAAGAAATTCTGTTTTCTGTGCCAGCCAGTGTCTGGGGATTTGGAGGAGACCAGGGTGGCTCTCACCAGGTGGCAGTGCTGGACCACCCCTGCCTTTCTGAAGCTGCCAGGGAGACCAGTGAGAGATGCTGGGAATTAAACTGGTTGCAATAGTAATGGCATTGACACAAAGTGTGAGGGTGTTCTGTGAATTCTGCAGAAAAGCTGAGCTAAAGTCTGACCTGAGGCTCAGCAGCAGCACAGTGCAATGAGCTAGAAAGAGATCCTTTCAGGATTTTTGAGTAATTGAGAGTTTATTCAGTGTGGCACCAAGAGAGTAAAACCTTCAGTATGTGTGTTAATCAGGTAGAGAACCCTGGCCTTTGCTTAAGCTGTTCTCAGTCTAGCAGGTGGTGCTCTTGTCTGGGCAGCTCTGCAGGGAACAGGTGGGAGCCAGTGTTCCTCCATCCTGCCTGCTCCCAAAGGCCTTGGCAGGCTCAGCACCCATTCTTGCTGCTGGGGTGATCCCTGGTAGGGGTTCCATGCCCAAACCCTGACTGTCCCTGCTACTACCCACGGTTCCTGCACCCAGGGCAGTGCTCCTTCCTGAAGGAACCTTACCATGTACCTCATAGCTCAAACCAAAGGGTCCAAAGCCTTTGGCACAGATTTACTTTGCTTTAGAAATACTTTTTTTTTTTTTTTTTCCCCTTTTCATTGTCTTTTTAACAGCTGTCATTTCTGCTTCCATCTCCATAAGCCAGAAAAAACACCTAGGACCCAGCCATTGCTGAAAAGGCATTTGACACTGGCATGTCCAACTTCTTGGCTTTGCAGGAGGAGAAGGAGGCTCAACACCAGCACACCTACAACTTCTCGTTGACTGCCTACAGTGCTGGGAACTCCAGAGAGTGGGAAGATCCTCTTGGTGTGTAACTTTTCCTGGTCAGGGAACAACGTTCCCAACACACATGGCATTTTGAACATCCCAAGGTTGAGGAAGTCAAATATATGTCTTTTGTTATTTTTTCAGGACAATACCATATTCAGAACAAAACTGTATGGTTAAAACCTCACCAGGATTGTTGCACTTCAGAGCCAGTCAGGTAGGTTAAGGCCTGTGTTGTTTTCGTACAACAGCTTCAGAAAGGACAGAAATATCTACCAAAGCTCCCAAGTCTGAGTGCCAGTGGAGCAGCTTTCAGTAAATTTTGCTTTAAAAATCCCCACATCTTCACAGCTCAAGTATTTACACTTTGCATTGTTTTGGTTTCAAGCTTTGCTGCATAATATGGACAAATAGTATTTACACATTTATATTTACATGTACTTTCTATTTTAAAGCTTGAGAACATACTGAGGTTAAGACATAACTACTCTTCTAGAAACTTCTCTGAAAATTTGTTCTTTTGTCTGGCTTATATTTGCATGACTGAAAGACACTAGCTGGATTTTAATTTGAAACTTCATGTCTTTTTAATATTTTAATATAGCATTAATATTTTAACATCCTCTAGTAGTGAGTTAGCTGTAGCTTTTCAACTGAAAGTGAAATTCAGTATGTAACACATACAACTCTGTGTAAAGTTGTGCCTGGTGTCGCAAAATTTTGCCATTTTAGCCCCCAAGTAGTTGGGGGCTTCACCATCAAGATTTTTCCATTTTTTATGCAAGCAGAACCGTTTTGAACTTTCTCTGTCTGCTGAGAAGTCCATGGGGAATGTATTATTGTGGAGTTAGCGCCTGCTGAATGGAGCTGACACCTGCACCAGGGCTGGAGGAGCAACACTGAAAAAGGTACAAAGAGGAGTCTCTGCTCTGATAGATATGTGGGTAAGTTTTAAGTCATATCCCCAGTATTACCACCTGTTCTGATACAGCACAATCAAGCCTTTTAGAATAACTGACCCCATGGTAAACTATACAACACGTGGGAAATGTATTACAAAGACTAAAATTATTGCATTTGGAAGTTGTGGGGTTCATTACCAGAACAGAGTGATATTTATCTCTTCCTTCCAGGTGATGCAGCTAGGTGTCATGCATGTGCCTTGGCTGAGTGCTACCAACTGTCTCACTTTTCAGCAAAAACCTCCAGCTTTCTTAGTGCCATATAGCTATGCTGCACCCCCCAGCCCAGAACTCTGGGTCCCTCCATCCCCATGCAAACCCAAGACTGCATCCTCCTTGCAGAGGAGTCCCATGAGCTGCCTGAGGAGCTTTAACCGAGCTTCATGTTAGGTGTGAATACTACCTCTGAAAAGACTCCTATTTGCTTCTGCTATAGTTCACCCCTCTAGGATGTTCTCTGTATATATGAAAAATCTAGCAGATTCTCAAATATTCTTTAGTTTCACAGAAGAAATAACAAAATTAGTGCAACACTGAAGTTTAAAGTTTGAAACTCAGTTCAAAGGGAATATTCACATGCTTAAAGGTAGAGAAGAGCACAGTCTGGATTCTGCAGTTCAGGAATCAGACAAACTCAGCTGCATTCAAAGGCAGAAATTATATTCTTCATTACTTACATTTTCACTTTTGATTCCAAGGGCTGTAAGTTGATATGATATTTTTCAATATTATTTTCTTCATCCATGGCAAGGTGATGGCTATGAAAAAGAAAAGGAGTTTAAAGTGTGTCAGCATGACATTTTTGCAATCACTGTGAATTAATTCTGAAATTTTGACAAGAGCATACAAGAGCTGCTTTTTATAAGGTGTTGCTGTCTTCAGTGACAGGCATTTGGGTGCCTGTGTCCAGCCCCACTTGACTGTTAACAAAAAGTATGAATTTGGATCCATTTTCCAGGTCAGAGTCTGCCCAAGTCCTTTCACTAAACCTTCCAGATGCCACAGGTCCAGTGACAGGTACATCCAGCAAAGAAACCACAGCAAATAAAAAAGCCCACTGGTAAATATAATAGATATTCGTGCTAAATTAACTTTCATCCCTGGGGCTACGTTTGAAAAGCTGGAGAGTCAAATGGAAAGTAACAATGGTAATGCTAGTAGCAAATGAATTACCTCAGCAAAAGCCATACAGGAATATGAAGAAAAAATTCTTTGTAATAAATCATGATCGAGAAATTGGTGTTGCAAGCTGATTGTTTTGACAAAGCAATTTTAAAATGCTAGAAGATCAAAATCAAACATCTTGGGACACTGCTTTGGATAGGTCTAGCAACGTGAATGAAAGGTCTTAATATGAAAATTTGTGAGATTAGACCCCAATCTGTGGAGTTATTTTGAGACTTTACTGGGCACTTAATTACATCATTCAATCAGCAGCAGTTTTCAGAAATTATCCTTCTGCAACTAAAAATAAGAATTATTTGTGGGGACAGATGCAAAATCTTGAACACTTAGTCTACTATTAAGTGAAAAAACATTCTACAATAGACTGTCCCTCATAAAGGGCTTGTTGCCTTAGAAAAGCCATTTCACTTCATCATGTGTGAGATACTGCAGAAATCACACATTTACCTTTGAAGCAAGTCTTTGCCATCATTGACCTGTCCCAAGGTGTGCTGGAGCCTTTTGAGTTCTTCCTACAAGGAAAGGAAAAACATTTCAATGTGCTTACGGGAAGCCCTTGGTTGACAATGTAGATTCCCGCTCAACCTCTAAACATTGTGTAATTACAAATAAACGAATATATTTATCAATATGTCCAGCACAAGTCTGAAAAAAAAAATAAGACCTACAAAAACAATAGGCGGAGCAAAAGAAGAAAGCATTCTTTCATGTCGTAGGTGTGCGGCTGCTTTGATTTGATAGAAGATGGTCCTTGTAAGAGGCAAGAGAGCACCAGCTTGTACTTTCAGGCACTTTTCTTTGTTCTGCAATCAAACAGCATTCAGTCTCATAATTAAGAGAGTCACTGGCTGAGATTTACAGCCTTATGCCTCTACCAGGATATGTGCATCAGATCCTGTTTCAATAGCAGAGATGTCACAAATTTAACTGCAGGTGGAGTTCCCTGCATCCATGCTAATGTTCAGAGAAAAATCAGCACAGAGATTTGGCTTTAAGAAAAAAATTGTACCTGACTGGCAGAGTTTTATTGTTCAGAAAGGGTGGGAGTTGATGCGTAAATGAGAACTTGGTTGCAATGAATGTGTGATCCAGGGGATGCAATTCATGGGCTAAGCTTTCTATTCCCTTGCAGTGCACAGTCCCACAGAGTGCCCTGGCATTGGTGGGACATGCATGTACAGAGCACACATGCCCAGTCTCCCTAAAGCTGGGCTGACAAGCAAACACTGAATCCCCCAGAGTGCATTCCTATGATGTAATAGACAGAGCATCACCACCCTGAGATGCAGGAGTATGCCTTCAGATTTGTGTTTATGCAACTGTTTTATAATTAAGTAACACTGAAAGATGAGAAGTCTACGCAAAAAACAAAGTTGTTAACTCACTTCTTACAGCTCATTAAGCTGGGAATCAAATGTAAAAGCAAAAGCTACTGAGAGTAAGGAAGAAGGATAATTTACTTAATACCTACCTTATGTAAAGATACAGGATTTCCAGAAAAGCTAACATTAGAAATGCAAAACAAGTATATCCTCTATATCTTATCTGACCTGGGGATAAATCAAAGATTTTTGTTTCCAATAAAACTGCTGCTGCCTCCAGGAGCACGGTAGATCTCCTTTCTGCTAGCTCTCCCTTCTGCTTTCCCAATTAAAGGAAATCTTGTGAAACAGAAATTTTATGTGGCATTTTTTAATCCTGTACAGGATTCAGCCCTGTTTGACATGAAACAAGATCACAGTTGGTAGCTGATTTATTCCTAATACAGCTTTCATTTCCTCCCAGCCTTGGAAGGACTATTACTGCAAAATATATTTTATGTATAAACTAGATTTGTCAAGATGACAAGTTAGAGTTTTCCCCAGTCTTTGCCCCTCTTGGTCTCCATTGTAGCATGGTTTTGTGGACACACTGCAGCTGATAAAGCACTGCACATGATTTGGGTGGCCTGGCTGCTGCCTACTGCTCAACAGCCGTTGGAAATGATCCACTCCTGAAACTTCTTTTTATTTTTGCCTTCCCTGTTTTATTGCCTGCTCTGAGGAACATCCTCTTCTTGCATATTAAAACCAAGCAACTTTCAAAATTGTTTTCTTTGAAGCACAGTTTATTTCAGAAAGTAACTTTTTCTTCTCCCGTATTATTCTGCTGGTCATTTTTTCAGCATACTCCAGAGATGTGTACGGTAATTTAGAATGTGAAAACAATTTGCAATTGACTTTATATATAACTCAGGGTGACAAAACCTGCATGACTTACTTAAATCATTTCTTGTGTTTGACATCATTTTCTATTAACCTCAGGGTGAAGACTGAACAATAACAACAAAAAATAAACACACTAAAATTGGTTGTGACATTCTGGACTGTTCAGTCTTTCAATTAAACATCACTGGACAGTTTTATAAAAGCCTTAATATAAGGCAACTACAGAAGGGGCATACCCATGTTTGCATAACTGGGGAGAGAAGGAGACATAAAATCTATACTAATTTCAGTTTTGCGTCATTAACCATGAAGTATTGATTATTGCTCCTTGCAACAAAATTTATGAAGCTAGCTATGCTGCTGCACCCAGAGAAAGCGATTCGGATGCTCAGCCCCCGGCGCAGTAACTGATCGGTGGTAGTGACAGCCGCGATGCTGCTTTTCCAACCCACAGCCTTAGGAGATGCATCTCCCAGACTACACCAGGAGTGACCCAGCTGCAAACTCCAACTTCAGAAAATTAAATTGGAAGGGATCCATACTTCTGTTGGAACACATGATGAATTACAATGCCTCTATAAACCCAGTTATAATGTAAACATATTGTAAAATTTACTGCAGTTTTTGTTTTCCTACTTCATACACTTCAAATACAGACATTAATAGCAATCATGTAGCTAAAGACACGTATAGACACCTAAGGAAAAAAAAAACAACAATGAAAGCTTGAAGTACAAGAACAGTCTTAAAAGTAAACTCAGGTGTTTTTCTAGTCTTTAAAGGGTACATACTATTTATGCATTAATTATTTTTCAGCCTGTATATCTGTATTTTCAGGAAACTATTATAGTGACTTAATTATTGTCAGGAAACCCGGTAACTCTGTGGGACAGAAGAGACAAAGGAACTCAAATCTATAGACTCTCGCCAGGGAGAAGCCAGTGTAGAAGAGCTGTCTTGAGCTGTGCTGAGTTGGCTCCCAGTGCAGCCTACACATTCTAAAAGCCTGACTCGGCTTTGCGGTCAGTATTTAGAGAAAAAAGATTTTGGGTCCCTCTGCCTATTTCCCTTGCAAATCAGCTGTGTTTGGCTCCATGCAGTCCAAGGACAGGCTCTATGTGTGCGTGGCCAGTGTGATGATTTAGCAACCTCACTCAGCTGTCGTCAGCAGTTTTCAGGGTCTTTTTTTTAATTGAGGGACCCAAGACTTTGCTTGGTTCTTGTTTGGGCTTGCACTGAAATGTCACCTCTCGTTTGACCAGCCACAGAGGTGGTGCCAGCAGATACAGGGTCATCAAGGCAGGCAGAGGAGCAGAAATCTAAGACAAACTAAGCGCACTAGTGTCTGAATTCCTTTTGAAGAAGACTGTCTTAAAAAACAGTCATTAATACAAATTCTAAGGAAAGAAATCTGCAGACATTAAATCACGCCTAGGTAAATATTTACCTCCAGTAGCAGGCAATGATTCCTTTTTGTTGCTATACTCAAAAGTATCCATTCAGGTCAGTGGAGCTATTTATACCCATGGGCTTAGACCAGCACAGAGCAATCAAGGCAGTGGCCACATATTAAAAATTAATTTTCAAAATCCTTTTTGGACATGCATGCAATTGTTTGAGTATCTCTGCCTAAGAAGTCTGTCACTTGCTGCTAAATATACCTCAGTGCTTCCCAAGAGATCAGAGAGATGGAGATGGGAAGAGAAAGCTCTGATTTCAGTAGAACCACAGCCCAAAGACAGCAGTAAAAAAGGTTCCCCCCAGATGCTTTGGGCAGTTCTCTATTTCATTGATGCTTTTCCAAATTTCAATTGAAATTTTATTGAATTGGGATTTTCTATTATGCAGAAAAAGTTCCAATCATGTGCATTTTTTCCTCTCCTTACTTCCAGTCACTTGATGAAACACCATGGTGCCAATCTGATATCTTCCTGACACAGAAAGGCCACAGTGACCAGAGAAATCTTACACTGGAGTGGCACGGCTGCTCTTGCCCCATCAGAGCAGGACGTACCCTTCATTTTGGGCTGCGGGGTACTAGTGAGCACAGGGAGGATGCTGGAAAAGGGCTGGAGCATGAGTACTGCCTGATGACACCTGAATGAGATGCATCAGGGAAGAGCACAGCCCGACTGCTGCTTTGAAGGAGAACTATGCCTCATCAGTCTGCCAGTGCTATGCAGGGAGGGAGCTAGAGCCAAAAGCTTTAATATGAGAATATCAATATATATCACTGGAGCTTTCATAGCTGCTCTTGCCAGCGAATGTGTTAGTCCATCTTATCATTCCAGAGCCACTGCATTTAAAGGCAAATGTCTGAGTTCTTCCCTGTAGCACTGACACAGGCATCTGCAAACCCAATCATTCCTTTCCCAGCACCACTTCTGAAGTGATGTCATGGCTAGGACAAGCACAGCTGAAGGCAGTCTGAAGCCAGAAACGCTGCAGTGCCTGCTGCCATTAAGAGCAGAAGCTGTGGAGGATCCATCCTCTGATCAAAGCCACCTGATGCCTCTTTCTGTCACTTATTAGGAAGCCAATTTATAGGCTTTAACTTTCTCACCTCCTGCCATTTTCCAATCCTGTGGTGATCAGAGGTGAATACAAGATAATGAAGCTCTCCCTGCTGCTGCTCACCTCACCTAGCCCACTGTGCTCATCTGGGGACAGCACATGCGGTGCTTAACCTCCTTTAGGACCAGCTCTGATTCATGTGCCATTCACATTTCAGCACCGAAGCAGCCTCAGCTGCTTTTCAAACATCCCAACTGCTTGTGGTTACTGAAAACAGTCCATTGCTAATACCATTCTGACCTGCTTCCACCATTGTCTGCTGCTACCCACATATTTGCGACTTTGTTCCCCATTTAACAAGTAATTGCCTCACACACTCTTTGTGTGACCAGGAAACATCTTGGGTTTTATTAATCTTATATTTTTCATTTTCATTTTATTAATTTTCATTTATGTTTTGCCCAGTTTTCCCTGGGAAGACCATGGCCCCTGTATTAAATGAAGTAGAGTCTGTGTTTCAGTCTGACAAGACCTGTCAAGCAGTGTGTTAATTAAGCCTCTTAGCGAGGTACAGTGAGCCTAAAGAGGATAGAAAGGTTAGGATCCTTTGCAGTGAAGTCTTTTACTCACTACTGTTTTGGGCACCCATCATACTGGCATGGAGGTTTTGCTCCAGTGGGAAACACACTGGATTATTTGAGCAGCCCCCGAAAGCTTCCATTCTCTCTCAGTAGTTAACAGTGGAGGTTGTCCCCAAAGGAACATCTCCAGTGACATCTGTGTGCCTGGCA